AAACTTTTCTAACAAATGTTGGAAATGTAGAAAACATGAAGGTTCATTTTATCATATGTGGTGGACATGTGAAAAAGCTGTGGACTTTTGGACTAGAGTTCACAGCGAAATGCAAAATTTTTTGAAATGTTCCTTTAAAAAAGCACCAGAAATTCTGCTCTTAGGACTTAAAATGGAAGAATTGAATATTATAAAAAGAACTTTATTTTGGTACCTGATTACAACGGCGAGAATACTCTATGCACAATGTTGGAAACAAGAAAGAATTCCAGAGTTAGAAGAATGGATACAAAAAACTTTGTTTATGGCTGAGATGGACAAAATTACGAAAAAATTGAATAACAAAGAAGATCAGGAATTCTATGAGGAATGGAGAGACTTTAAAATTTACCTAGAAAAGAACTGGGATGTAAAGCACAATCTATTATATTTAGAACAATATTGAAACTAGAATATGATGTTATCTTAAGGTGTACTGGAGTGACAAGGGGGGAAGCATTGCGGGAAGCCACGGGGAGGGGGAGAGTAAAGTGGGGATATTGGGGGTAAAAATTGAAACATTAATGGAACTGAGGACATGTCAATATTTTCATGAAAAATAAAATTGTGTTCTAAAAAAAAAAAAGAAAGTTCTAGTTCAGGTTGCTCTATGGTGCGCCAGTGTTCTATGTGAAGGGATGGTTTTTTTCCAGGGATGCTTCACCTGGAGTCTGAAGTGATCAGCAGTATAGGCTTATCATTTAATCTGTTGCTTGTGACATTAAGGCTCTAACTGGAAGGTATCAGTGGACCATCTGTACATGACTCTCCAGCTAAATAGCAGCCACGGCAGTGTTATCTGACCTGAACCAAATTCAAAATATTGGGGAAGAGGATATAACCCTTTCTGCCTGTACTGTGCCTCTGACCTCCATTGGGTGCCTGGAACAGCTATTCTTATAATGCAAAATGACAATCCCAGTAAGGAAATGAAGTGGCATTCAAGGTTGGACCAACAATGTTGGGAGGAACTGCTAACCCCTACTTCAGGGTACACAAGAACACATACAAGGCTGCCTTTTACTGAGTCAGATCCTTGGCCTATCAAAGTCATTTCTGTCTATTCTGACAGGCACTGGCTCTCTGGGGTCTTTCACATCACTTGCTATCTGATCCTTTTAACTAGAGATTCTGGGGACTGAACCTAGAACCTTTTGCATGCCAAGCAGATGCTTGACAACTGAGCCACAGCTCCGCCAAAGCTGCTGTTTAGCAGTAAAAGCCTATAGTCATTGGATGTACTGATTAGAGAGGCAAACTATGTTTGGGGAGACCCAGGTTAACAATCCTACTTACTATGAAACTCACCAGGTGAACTTAGGCCAGTCACTTTCTCTCAGTCTAACCTGTCTCACAGTGTTGTTGTAAGGATATGGAGGAACTGAGAAACATGCAAGCCACTGTAAGCCCCGTGACGGAAGAGCCTTTAAAAAAAAAGAAATAAAAAAGAAAAGATTGTACTAAATCAATCAATAAATATGCATCAGAGAGATGTTCACAGATTTCTTTTCCAGTATCTTGTCTGGTTTGACCTTCAAAATATCCACTTGTACAACCCAGACGATGACATTTGACAAGCCAAGAACAAGTGCACTGCAAGAGACATTTAAGAGAACCATCACTCCTGAATAAACCGCAACCATCCTTCCAGGGTGGCCAGCAGGACCCATACATACAGACATTCTTCCTGTGATCACACTTTACTCATTTCTATTAGCTAATAAAACCCAGACATTTTCTCAGAAAATTTGTGCTCGTCTAGTTCTGGAAGGACATGAAGTCTGTTTCAAACATCAATATATACCCCCCACACACATACACACACACTGGATAATCACAGCCACGCAGCTGTAACTACAATAAAGACTCTTCCCATCAGGCATCCATTAATTTGCATAAGTAACCACTCCTCTATTACGGGACACCAAGGAGATGCTGTGATCATTGCTTTCTGCTCTGTTACTTATAGTTCTACAAGGGAAGGACATTTAAACGTCCATGTGGCCGCAATTTTCAACAGCAGCCATTCCCTAAAGAGAACATTTGATTTGGGCTTGGGGCCTCATTTATGCAAAAAGCAGACAAGATGATAAAACTGTTCCCGGAATCTGCCATGTCAGATGGTAGTTAACAGATTGCACAGAGGGAACATAGAAATCTAGAATCAGAGAAGGGAGGGGAGACCAGGATATACATAGCATAGGGTTTGGCATAGGGTTGCCAACCTCCAGGTTGGGCCTGAAGACCTCCCAGAATTATAGCTGATATCCTACAGAGATTTGTTTGCATGGAGCAAATGGCTGCTTTGGTGGGTGGACTCTATGGCATTGCACCTGGTGAGGCCACTCCTTTCCCCAAACTTCACCCTCCCCAGGTTCTAGCCGCAAACCTCTAGGTATTTCTCTACCTAGATTTTTTGCAATCCTAACATGGCATCTGGAGCCCCCCCCCCAAGTATTCATCCATGACATTCCTCACTTCCATACTGAAACACAGAAAGAGCTGGAAGGGATCTCAAGGGTCATCTAGTCCAATGCAGGAAATTCACAACTACCTCCCAGCCACCCACCATTCCCTAGTGACCCCTACTCTGTGCCCAGAGGAAGGCAAGAAAACCTCCCTCTAAGCTGCGGAGTCTTGTGAGCAAAAATTCTACTTTGTGAGCTACTGACATTAAAGTTGTGAGCAAGCGATTTGGCTGCTGTATAAATTAGTTTGCTCTGGAGCCGTCCTTCCTGAGCTGAGACAAAAATGTGTGAGCCGGAGGCTAAAAAACTGTGAGCTAGCTCACACCAACTAAGCTTAGAAAGAACACTGGATCAATGGCCAATCTGGCTTAGAGGAACATTTCTTCCTGACCCCAAAGCAGTGCTACATTACCCTGGGCATGTAAGAAAGGGGCCATGAGAGCTGAGCACTGGCTCATCGCTTCTTGCCCTCCCTCTCGTGATCTTCCTAAATTCACAGAAGTGGGTCAGTCCAGGAATAATTTAACCAGTTCATTTGCTCTTGCCATTCACTATACCTGAGACTTTAGAGAGAATGGACTGCCTGAAAAACAGCACTGAACTGTGGCACAGGTAAGCCAAGGAACATAGCTCCTAGACAGCAGATATGGAATACTCACTGGTTCCACATTTCATAGACTGCTGAATTGCTACTCATATAGGAATCAAACTTCATCATACAGTTGGTATTTAGGAGCACAACAGAAACAAGGAAGCCTGCCTGAGGGGTTGCAAGAATTATTTACTCATCCTCCACTTTTCTCCCCAAGGGATACTCACAGCAATTTACAACATCATTTTCTCTTCCATTTTATCCTCCCTACCACCAACCCAGCTAATTTCCATGGCAGAGTGGGGGTTCAGACTTGGGTCTCCATGACTCTATTCCCACACCTTAACCACTATATCAGACTGGGTTGTCAAAGACCCGGCAGGCCATGGCAAGTGCTCTGTGTTAGGTTGGTAGATCATCAGTCGTATAACATGCACTAAGGCGTACTTTATAGCATACACAATACCATAACAGTCCTTTTTGTGATGTAGAACAATTCACAATATACCTTAAGTGGAAGCATTTCTGTGTATATATTTTAACTTTTTTAAAAAAACCATGTCACCTAAAGCACAAAGTCCCAACATTTTGAAGCTACTAATGACAAACAGAAGGCCTGGCACACAACTTGAAAAAGTTCAGACAAATATGGCTCTAGTGAAAACAAATGTGTCAAAGAAGTGGCACATCTCAAATAAGATCATCTGCTAACTTCACAAAAGTAGTACAGAACATAATTTTATTATTATCATTATTATTCTTAGACCTGATCACACTGACTCTTGAATAAATCTATACATTTCATCAATAGTTTCCGTTTGGTATATTGTTCTCATTTTTTTTAAATTATACTGAATGATTAATGCATCTTTGTGACCAGGAAAACAAATCAGGCATATTTAAATACATATTGAGGAGTACATAATTTCTTCCCTATTTAGTATACAAAGTATTTCATAAATATGAATTATATTACAAAAATAATTTCTGAAACGCTCACACAGCAAGCAAATTTTTTGAAAATTCTGGACAACCTTTTGGGGGTTGAAAGGAGTCTCATGTCACTGAGAATGGTTCACTGGGGTTGAGAAGCTGTATCTTAGTCTCACGTCAAGTATTTACTTCCAATTGTTGTGAATGCTGATCCTTTTTTGTGTTGCGTTTTGATACCGTTGTGGGCTGGCTGGTTCCATTATGCCAATTCATGGTATGCGCCAGATGGTCCAATTTTGATTGGTAAGGATACAATGTGTCGTATTTCTGAAACAAAAGATTTCTGCACAATTTAATGTTATAAATCCAGTGGTTTCAAGATGCAGGCCATAAAGGCAACCAATTTTACACATACTATTGAATGTTCTTTCTTTTGCATGCTTTTTTTTTAAACAAAAAAAACTTTTCAAGTAATCTCTAAAACAGTGCCGCTTACAACACCACAAACCAAAGGGATAGACTGACACCAGTTCCTCCTCCAACTTTAATCCACGTGCAAGATGGATGATGCCACTGAAGTACAATCACCAGGACCAGTTTCTCCCTTTCCTTTTTTTTCCTGTTGTTGTTGTTTCTCGTGCATTTGCTTTAACAAATCACAAGGAGATGAAAGTTTTGCAATTAGGGTAGAAAACATATATGCCTCTTGAGGTTAAATTCAGTGTAATATGTGTATAAAGCAACCTTTTTTGGCAATAGAGTTTGCAGTATCCCTTACAGGGATTCCACAGGGCAACAGTTTCATGAAATAAAATCTATTTGGAGCAAGAGTTTTATTAAATACCCCTGGATCGCCTGCCTCTATGCCTTTACCAGTAGAATATCATATTTGGAAATTAAAAGTCAACAAAAGGCACTTGCATCATTAAATAAATGTCCTCAGTAGGAAAATGAGATTGCATGGACCCCTACATTTTATTCAAAGCCGTTTGCTCTTCAAGGACTTGTAAGTAGTCTGGAGAGCCCTGAAGTTTTGCTTTAAGTTCAAAATACTCACTCTTTCTTTGCTCCACTACAATTTTACTGTGATTGCCACCTATTAAGGATTTCTTGCTTTTCCTGTCTTGTTGTTTCTCTGGGTAGCGTATTTCAAAGCCACTGACCCCTATACTATTGTATTCCTTTTTACTTTCGAGAAAATTCTGAATAAAGACGTTAGAATCCCGTCCCGGGAACAATTCATCTAGTTCATCAATTGTGCTAAGTCTTTTCCTGCTATCCATGTGCAATAAATCTTTATCCTTCTCACTGTTATTTCTCAGGATGACTTTCTGCCCCAGCGGGTCCGCAAATGTGAAGCCAGTTTCTGTTTCCTTTAAGCCACAGGAGTGGCTTTTGCTCATCTGCTCAATGGTCTGAGGGATGAAGGCCTCGGCACCTAGAGTGTCCTTTTTGTTGGCCATGTGGTCGTGCTTTCGCAGCTGCAGTTGCATGGAGCTGCACTCCTGACTCCCAAGGCCTTCGTGCTTCACGGATGGTTTTTTGTTCCGGCGGAGAACAAAGACAAGGAGACAAAAAGCAACAAAGACTGTTAAAATGAGCACGACCAGGATGCTTAAGATGAGGATCGACAATGGGACCGGACCACCTGGAGGACTCCGAATGGGGCCCAGCGGTGTCGTGAACGTGACAGCAGGTGCAGGGCTAGTGAAGACAGCAGATGGCTTGTTCAATAGTTTGGGGCATAAGATTTCATTTTTGAGTGACTTCAGTTCAATGTTTGCAAACTGCACGGGGGTCTCACACTTTAACTCCTTCACCACAATGCCTTCATTCAGTTTTTCCAACCAGAGTTTCAGAGCAACCAAGTCACATGTGCAGTCCCACGGATTCCCTTCCAAATCGATCTGCGTCAAGGATTTCAGCTGATCAAGGACGCCACTCACGGGCAGGTACATGAAGTGATTGTTCCTCAAGTTGAGCCGAGCGAGCGGTGCCCCAGCGAAGATGTAGGCTGGCAAACTTCGCAGGAGATTGTTGTTCAAGTACAAGAGCTGCAAATTTGGCATCAAGTCAAAAGTGTTTCCTAAAATTTCCCGGATTACATTGTATTCCAAATACAGGTACTGAAGATTATGGAGGCCGGCAAACATTTCGGGACTCAACCGCTCAATCTGATTGCCATTGAGATACAATCTCCGTAAATTTGTAAGGTTGCGAAAAACTTCCCCCTTAATGGTAACAATCCGATTACTACCTAGATGGAGTAAATCCAGCCCATCAAATTCAGCAAAATCAGAAATGTCCACATCCTTAATATAGTTGCCATTCACGTGCAGTTTCTTGGCATTCAATGGCTTGGGGACAAGTTCAGCCAATGACTGGATATTTCTCTCTTGACAACTGACACTTAATCCCAAATCTGAAGGATGTGTTTTGCAAACACAAGGATGAGGACAAGGAGTCAGAGGTGCTCTGGTTTGGAAATAGACTATTTGACTGAGAGTCCGGTTAGAAAGTGATTTGCCTGCTACAATTCCCGAGATCTTGGAAGGGTTTGTAGTTTTTGGAGGCTTGGTGACCAATCTGTGCATTGACGTTTGTGTAGTGTGGCCATTCGGTGTGCTGTAACCAGGTTCCAGCTGTGATGGAGGCAGAATGCGCACATCAAAATCACTCCCCGTCCCCATGGAACACAACTCTTGCTTGTTAGTTTCTTTCAAAAGCCTCCCATACAAATCACTGGGCGTCTCACAAATGGCTTCTCCAATGTAGATGTTATAGGGCATATTCTCCAGCCACGCCTTCAGTGGCAAGAGGTCACAAGTGCAATTCCAAGGGTTGTCTTCCAGCTGCAGTTCAACGATGCGTCCAATGTGCTCCAGAACCCCAATATACGGCAGCTTCTGTATTCTATTCCCACGTATATCCAGGTGGGTGAGAGAAGCAAAACGGAAAATGTTATCAGGAAGGAAAGAAATCAGATTGTCATTAAGGATGAGGACTTTCAGCTTGTGAAGCTTGTTGAAGGAACCCCGTTCAATATATTTGATTAAATTGTAGTCAGCTTGGAGATACTCCAAGTTCTCAATGCCAAGGAAAGTGTCAGCTCGGAGGACCTTTAATTCATTGTTGTTCAAGTGCAACTGTTTTAATGCACTGAGACCCAGGAAGGCTCCTCCTTCAATGTTCTGCAATTTATTGTTACCTAGCTGTAGAGAGACAGCATGAGTAAAGTTCAGAAATGTATTGGGGTAGAGGATGATCAGGAGGTTGTTCTGAAAATTGAGGTGATAGAAATTAGACCAAGGTGGTTTCAGCTGGTTTGGTCTGTAGACCGCAACCTTTTCACAGTTGACATAAAGTACATTCTCCACCGACACACAGGAGCAAACATTGCAAATTTCCACAGATGAGTCAGTCTCTGGATCCGTACAGGAAGCTGGACTGGACAAAACCAGAAAGAACCACAGAAGCATCTTCTTATGATCAGCAATCAAAGCTATTGCTCCTGAACAAAGACAGAAAAATCTACAAGAGAAGAACAAAAAGAATATATTTCAGTCGTCATCATTCTAATTTTCTTTCTTTCTTTTTTTCTTAAAGCATTTAGGTGAAAACTATACACAGAGCTAGTGTTGCCGAGCAAGGGCAGCTACAGCATGACAAGACCATAAAATATATTGCAGCAATTCAAATAGGGCACAGCTGTACCTTGCATTTGAAATGATAAACTCTCTGTCCATTTTCTATCATGCACACACACACACACAAACAGAAATTATATACAGATCCAGTGCATTTCTCTGACTTGGCTATGACATGTATTCCAAATCAAAATTAAAATTACCATAGCAGCATGTACAGTTCCATGTATGTTTAGCATCCCAAATACTGTCCATTTATACACAGTGGGAAGGATTTAGATCACATTTTTGAAGGCTGTGCATGATACATGGGGCGAGTTCTACAGGGAAATGCAAAGATGCAAGCGAAAGAGAGTGAGGCATAGATCCAGGGAGCAAAGACAGGCCGTCCAATCTTACACAACGCTCATTGAGAATGCATGCTCTAGTCTATTGATTCTGAGTTCTTTGCCAGCCATTGATAACATGCCTGTCACTTTTGTTTATATTTCTGCTAAAAAACTAAAACAACAAAACAGGGTGCAACATGAAGAGATAATTAGTCTCTATATAAACCACCGTGGTTAGTTATGCATGGATACAATCAAATATAACAATTGTGGGCAGGGTGCCCATACATCCACCGTCCCAAAAGGACACCTTAATTGGTAGTGCAAAACAACATCATCATTCACGAGGGTGACATCACCCAAACTGTCCACCAACTCCCCCCCCCCCATGCAGAAGCTTATATAATTCTCCCGGAGCCCCTGCATCGCCAGGGGAAATGGGTTTTGCAAATCTTTCCTACACACCTGGGGCTGAATCCAGCTCCCGACTCAAGCTCCACATGTCCTTCTTTCCACCCTGTAAGGCGGGCTGATGCTGGATGGCTGAGTCCATTAATTACTCTCTCTCCCTCCCCCCCCCCCCCCCCCCCCGCCTTTTTTTTGTTATTTAAAACATTTCCCCTCTCCAGTTGCGTGGGTGTGGGTGAGTGGAAGAAAGAGAGTTGCCCAAGGAAAAAGAGGTCCAGAAGCTGCCAAGGAGAACAATAGAGATGAGCCTGGCAAGAACCTGCAAGAATGAAGATGGGGGAGGTGGAGGAGGGGGACAAGCAGGAAAGGGGGGCTCCAAGGAGAGTTTGAAGGAGGTTGGGAAAGGGCGGCAGAAAGGAGGGGGGAGGTGAGAAGAGCCAAGGAAGATGTCAAGAGGACAGTTGGATGGGAAGAAGCAGGAGCTCCAGGATGGAGA